AAATGCCTGGACCAATCACAATCAAACTTCACACATACATCATACATGATATTATACATATGCACGTCAATTTGTTTCACGATCTAATTCAAGATGGCCGAATGGCGGCCATTTTTGTGCTAAAAATCATCAAAATCAAGCATTTCTCGGCTGTTTACAGATGGATTTTGTTCAAACTTTGTATATACATTAGACATTATAGGACCTTGATGCATATCATTTTGTTTTACGATCTGATTCAAGATGGCCGAATGGCAGCCATTTTTGTGCTAAAAAATTCTAAAAAGCCACCATTTCTCGGCTGTTTACAGATGGATTTTGTTCAAACTTGGTATATACATTAGACATTATGGGACCTTGATGCAAATAATTTTGTTTTTCAGATAAGATTCAAAATGGCCGACTGGCTACCATTTTGTATTAATGAATGTGGTTCTCGTGCCATATCTCTGACTTGCTTTCACTGATTATGTTCAAATTTTAAATATTCATTATACATCATGTCATAGATAGACAGATATATTGGTTTGACTATCCTATTCAAAATGGCCGAATGGTGGTCATTTTTGTGCTAAAAGCCTTATCTCTTAAATGCTTTGACTTGTTATATTTAAATTAAACAAGTTAATATGGACAAGTACTTTGTTTGTCAATCAGATACAAATGTCAATCATCTTAATGTTAAAAAATCATATTCCTGACATGGTTATATTCCAGCTATATTACTATAAACAAAACTATATATCTTAAATTTGATAAGTAACGGGGACTGTGCCATGCATGGCTTGTTATAATTACCTTGGCATTGTTTTTCAAACAAATGGTAAATTTCATAATTGTCACACGCAACGTAATATTACCGTAATTGGTATAGTACTGGTGTGATGGTTCAAATACCAAAATGGCAACAGTAACAAAAAGACTTCCCTGGCGGCGATGATAAAATACGAACACGGAGCCAACAGATGAGGTTTCAACTGGTACTGGTATTATTATACTCTGCAAACATCAAGTACAATAACGCGGTAAAACTCCACTACTCCAATAACTAGATACTTTAAACTCCAATACAATTCAACGAGATCTCTGATCTGATCTCAGTGCTGAACAACTCCCCTATATATACCCATACTGTCTATAAATAGACCATTACATCAGCATACATTATGAGTCTGGAATTTACTACAAATTTCTAGAATGTTCCATTACCTTCTATTGCCTTCTACAGTGTCCTATTACCTATTCAACCAGCTTCTATAAATTCCACCCAGACACAGTACGGTTCTAGAACATTCTCAGTCACACGGAAGTGGTAAACAAGTTGTATGCGACAATAATGCTATGTCTAGGCTACAAGACAAAGCACAGAAAGCACTGTTCAAGATGTACAAAATGCTTTGGATCAGTGAGGAATGTTATTCTGTTAGTCTGGCTAAAAAACTATTTAACTCTATTATCAAACCCACAGCTTTATATGGGGCTGATGTGTGGGGAGGGGTTATGCTGAACATCTACAAGGGGTCTGGTAAAAATAAATGTACAGTTGACAATTGCAATTTTGAAACAAAACTTTTCTCAGATAAATTAATTCCAGAAAAACTTCATATTAAATTCTGTAAAAGAGTTCTGGGTGTGCACAGGAAGGCATCTAATGACCCATGTAGAGGTGAATTAGGTCAATATCCACTTATATTGGATATTTGTGTTTCAGTTATGAAATATTATCAAAGACTAGTATGTAAAAAAACAAAACAATTCTATCATTGATGCAGCCTATGAAGAATCCAAAACTCTTGTGCATGACCCATGGCTTAACTTTATACAAAAATTACTAGTCATAACAGATCTAA